CTGCGCGTACACGAGCGGCGCATGCTGCTGCTAGCTCGGGTCTTCATGCGTCTGGATAACGTCGTCGTGCGCATCCGCGACACCCGCGTGTACGTTGATTTCGCGGCTGAGGAGGTCACGCGCGAGTACACAGCTAGGGAGCTGGGCTTTGAAGATGTTAAGCGGGTAAGTCATACGATAAATCATTTTTGGCCTTTCCAATTGTTGCTTCAAATTGCACGGTGGCAAGGGGGAGGGGAGTAAATGGGAGAAATTAGGATGATTGGATATTAAATAAATAAAAAAGGGGGGAGGGCTAACTTGACTTCGTGCAGAAACTGCTCATGACGGGCCTAGTGCCTGACGCTGTGACGATAGCGTTGCGTGACGCCAATAAGATCGCCGACTTGCTCCCTACGGTAGAGCAGAGCTTGGAAAGCGTCTCGCTGAGATGATGGACCTTGGATACCTCGGACGAGATCGTCTCGAATCTCGAACGCTTATTCCTAAGGATCGGATTTGGTTGATCGGGGACTATAAGAGTAATGAGCGGACAGGCAAGGGTTATGAATTCTACGAAATGCATGGTTTGGCGTTCGCGGAGTTGGGCACGAGTAGGAGCTTTGGTTCTCGGAAGGTATACGCGCATAAGTGAATGGCTTGATACACGATCGTATACTCTGAAGGAGAAATGCGGAAATAAAATTATGGTGTATAGCAAAAGTAGATGGATGGCTAGCATTGACTGTGGAGGTATCGAGATATCGTATCAGTAAAATAGTATGCGATCTTCATGCCATTTGATTCCCCTAGCCCTTTCAGAGCAATAAGCATAGCTGATGATAAAACGCTAACCTGGCAACTTAATGAATGCTCATGCTAAGCATCATGCATCATAACTGGCCAACCCCAACCCCAACCCTCCCAGTTTCCCAATCCCCTTTTCCTATACTCCCCGTGAATAACAATAATATGCTTTTCGAATTTAGCGAGCGTCCCGTGGCGAACTGCTCTGCGTCATCTCTTCGTAGTCGAGCTGCCATTTATCCACCTCCTGGAACTTTCGCGCCGCGTCCTTCAGCTCCTCGCCCACTCGCGAGACCATGACCTGGCTGCTTTCCTCTCCATCCTGCTGCTCCTTGCTAGCTCCGCCGTCTTCTGCTTCATCAGCCTCGGACTCCTCTTGGTTCTCTTTGTCCGATGTCCGGCCATACGTAATCGTAGCACGTCTATTAGTGCTAGGAGTCTGCTTTGCGGGTTTACCGCGCGAAGTGGGACGCGCCCGCCCCGTATTCTGGTTCCTGGACTGTCCTGCTCGGGAGCCTGGCCGTGCTGGGTGCCGTCGTGCTCGAACATCAAGGTAAGATAGCTCGTCGTCATCATCACCCAAGCCGGAGATGTCAATCTCTGTTTCTGAATCCTCGCCGTCGGTTCTAGCATTTCTACGGCGCCGACGCGGTAATAAGCCCGCTAAATCTGCAGTCGTGACTTTGGGCTCCGGCTTCGAGGCCCCCTTACGCTTGGTCTTTGCGGCCTGTCGCGGCGGCGGAGAAGGCTCGCGGTAATTAGGGGAATAAGTGAGGGAAGGAGGCGAAGAGATATCGGAGATATTATCATTTGCAACTGGGGTCCTTCGGAGGGCCGAGGCTGGTCGTCTCAGCCGAGCTCGCGTGAGTGATTGGAGAGGCGGCCAGACCTCTGGGTCCCCCTCGGAGGAACCGCTACTTAATGGAGGCGCCATAAGTTCCTCGTCCATAATAGGTGTTACGGGCCTACTGCTCTGTTGCCGAGGTGGAGGAGTAGATGGGGGGGATGATAGCTCTGAATCTGATCGCTGTACTACGGGATCCTTGACGGGTTCATTGTCTTCAAATGGGGATGATCTTGCGCGGCGTTCATGGCCTTCTGAGGATTTTCGCTTACGCGAATTTGCGCGTGATAAATCCTGCGGCGATGCTGGGCCAGCCTCAACCTCTCCGGAACGTCTCTTAGAAGACTTAGGCGGGGTTGATTCGGCTTCAGGGGCAAATCCCTCTTCATCAGCTTCTTCTTCTTCTTCTTCATCCTGATCAGATTCCGGCTCGGGCTCGGGCTCTAATCTTTGGGCACGCGGCTTTTGGGCAGTACCGAGGATACTAGGCTCTCGTACTCTCCTTTTAAACATGCCGATGTTGAATGTCGAGCTAAAACCAGGCGTGTTGGGACCCGTCCGGCTGCTAGGACGAATGTAACCGTCCTCCCTGCTTAGAAAGCTTCCTGCGCGGGGCCGTCGTTTAAAAACACTGGCAGACATTGTAGATGTGTCGACTGATCGCTGCGCACTTGCTGGACCTGCGGTATCAAATGATGTATTCAAGTCATCAAAGTCTGAATCATTCAAGTCCAGCCCTGACATGTCCGTCATTCTCCTCTGTTGCGGGGTCCCGGCTACTTTGCGCCCTAACTCAACCGAAGCCTCCGACGATTCTCTGGGCTCATCTGCCCGATTGCCTGACGTCGAAGTCATGTTTTCCAGCCTATCCATGGTAGAATCGCGTTGCTGTCGCGCGACTTCTAAAGCCTTCAATTGGTGTGAAGATGTAGATCGCGTGCGCGTAATAGTATCCGCATCGCGCATTGACTCACGTCTCTGTTTCGCCTTTTCCTTTTCCCGGTCACTCACATCGTATATATCAGAGCTGGTTTCGGCAGGTTGTTTCGGTACCACAGCGGGTTCGGGGCTTGTGACTCTTGTGGCTTTTGCGACTGTTCGAGTCGACGCGACGCGTGTTCTCTTAGGTCGCGGCATGGTTGGTGACAATTGTGAATTATTGAGTGTGATGTGTTATTTACTGCGAAATCAAGTATTTCAAACTTGACAGTCCGTTAGTTCATGGTGAAAAGCGTTATAATAATTATAATTTGAACTGGATAAAATTGTTATGGAAGGTTGGGGGGTGGAGGATGGAGGATGGAGGGTGTGGGAGTGGGGAGAATTGGGCGCTGGGAGCTTGACGCGTTAGAAGCGTGTTTAGAGATAAGACCCACAAACCTAAACGAAAACTCAATGGCTTAGATTAGGTACCTATGTATATAGGTACTTAAGTACATGCCCCATTTTATATGACCTCAGTATCCAATCTATTTTCAATAAACGCAATGTCACGTGATTTCCTTTCAGGTATACTACCTACAGTAGTACCACAAAAAATCCCCATCTAAACCTACCGGACCAGTCACATATCCGTAGTAAATAAGTACCAACACGAGATAACTTGCTACCATCATTTTAAATTTACCATCAAAAAACTACATACCTACAGGTTTTGGTCCCGTTGAGTTTACTATATATGCCCCTGTATTCATGGCCCTCGTTAACAACGGAGAGGATTGTATAAGATACAGCTGGTGAGTATACCAAGTTAAGAATTAAGCATAACTAGTTAACTAAGGTTACATGATATAATCACGAATACTCGCCTTATAGGTAATTAGTGATCCTGGCCACGTTAATCGCGACCTACTTGTTCTCGCCCTTTGCTACCACATCAACAATCCAGCTGATCACTTCCTGTGGTTTGGTGTAATTAGGGCAGTGACCGACCTTCAGAGACGTGACATCGACCTTGTTCCCGCTCTCCCTCTCAATCAATTCGATCCAATCTCTCTGGTACTTGGGGGGAAGAATGGCGTCCTCCTCACACAGCAAGTACGACACTGGGAGGTCCTTGTAGCCGGCATGTGTCAACTCGGTAGCAAAACTAGCAGATGAGTGAGTTTGGAATTTCCTAACGGTTGCCTCTCTTTCCTCCGCGTCGGGGAGGTCTGAGATTATCAGTGCGGCGGCGGCAGGTAAGTCGACATAGTCCATCCAACCTTGCTCCTATTTTGATAGCGTTAGATGGTGGCAAATGAACAAGCAGCAGGAAATATCAAAGACAGAAAATCGACTAACATCAATTTTAAACTCAATACGATTCTCGCTGGGGACCTCTGCGAGAAGACTCCGCGAGGAGCGTCCTACAGGCGGTACCAGCGATGTCATGTATGCAAGCCTAACAATTCCGCCTCTTTTCCCTTGACTCTGCCTCTCTTTCTTCGTGAGTCCCTTAGTGCTCTCGGTAGCTGGCACACCTCCGTAGGAATGGGCGACTAGAACGACTGCAGCGCGTAACGTTAGCATTTGACCTTGGCTAGGGGGTATCTACAGGAGTTGGGGTTTAGGGGTCTATATTGCTTACCGTCCTTCCCCTCGTCCGCAAGTTTGGATACCTCCTTGGCGACAAAGGCAGCATCGTCATACATAGTCGGCAGCTTTTCCGGTCTCGGCCCAGCCCTCAAACCAACGCTCGGATAATGCAGAGCCCTGATTTCATAGCCTTTTGCCGTAATAGCATCGATGATATTGTTATATAACTCGGGCGGCGCGAATGAACCCCCAACGATCAATATTGTAGGGTTAGACATGTTGGAATGTACCTTAGGGTATGAGTTGAGTTCAACGTTGGGTTTCTGTCTTGTCTTGTTACAAAGAATTCTCAAGATAGTGCAAAACAAGTCTATTATATGCCTATTATCTGATATAAACACATGGATTTATACTATTTTTCCAACTGCGTGTACGATGAACTTGTTTCTGGATTTTCGGGTGGTTTTTACTAATATGACATATCCGCTCTAATAATCCGCTCGCCGAGGGAGTGTTTGGATACCCGGGATATGTAATAATACGTTAAAATCGGAAAGATACATGTGCCGCCGTCTCGTTCGGATCCGTTCCTGCAGTACGTAATATCACATTGATTACATACGTACTCCCCGATCCATCGTACCTGCTTAGAAACTACCCGTCGTTTAAAAAGGTCCCGATGCTTACTAAGAAGCTCTGGCTACCTGCTAATGTATACCCAAAAAGCTAAGCTAAAATGTCTCTAGTTGGCGATAGCCCTAACCAATAGAGAGGTATCCACAGACCTAAACCTAAACCACTAATATATACGGCCGATTTCGAGACCACCGAAAAAATATTGGTCCAAAAGTAATGGTCCCAGGCGGGCTCGAACCGCCGGCCTTCGCATTCACTAGATATAACTTGTAACTGTTGTATTAGTACGACGCTCTAACCAACTGAGCTATGGGACCTGGTGTAAGACCATGTTGTGTTGTGATTGGTGAGACGCCGCTTACACTCCAACATATATCAAAATTGTTGCATTCAACCCTGGTGTCTATTAGAGACTTGGCCTTGGTTTGGAAGACCGAGAAGAAATCACTAAGACCAGTAAGGCTTAGGAAGGGGAGTTCACCTATAGGCTATAGCTCAAACTAAAAAGGTAACATCATGTATAAATAAAATACCGAACTATTAGAGACATCGTATGCTACCCTGGAATCCATTGGGATATTTTAGTTCAATCTGACTTCGGGCCAGAGGGAGGGCTCGGAATTTCTGCCTCGATTGGCTCAGCCCATCTCACAGTTTTAGGACTCTCGCTGCGCTGCTGATCCTCCGAGTTGCTATCAGAACCGAAGCCTGTCTTCGTATCGTTTGTCCCGTTTGGTGGGGGTGTGGTGCCTCGTGTCGCTAGGTAGTTTGCCGCAATGTCTAGGTCGCTATCGGGATTATTGTCCTGGGAAGACATATTGAGATTGTTCTAGGAGTTGTCTCGCAGCAAATTTATTTCGTAATATGTAAAAATAATATTCTCGGGAGTTTAGAGGAAACCCAAACTAGGGGCTCTCTGTGCTTAAATAGCCTTATATATAAAGTTGCCTACGCACAGATTTCATAGTTTCTGGTTGGATGAGTGTATGATGAAACAGTGTAACTTAGGTATGTAGATATTCCATGGCTTTCCGAATCGGTGTAAATACATATATGACGGCAGTCTAACTTAGAGAATGGATGAAGACATCCTTGACATATATCATGGTAAAATACTTACACGTGTTTTTCCTACTAACTAACGAGTTTCGCTCCAGAAGAAACTGCCCAGATTAGGCGTAACTCTACTGTTTGGAACTCTTCTATCATAACCAGCTCACCCGTTTCATAATTAATCCTGGGGGTGGATATAAGATACGCCAGCGCCGTCCAAAACTTTGCCCATATAAGTATCGTCAATCTTGGGAGGCTCTGGGTTATCGACGTGCAGTCTGGAGATCCAACACTGTCGCATCCCTGACCGGCCTGAGTGCGTCGCGGGTTCATTGCCAATGCTAGTTTTCCAATTCCTATACTGAATATTGGTGGCCCTAAACCTGGCTCTTGGCTAGGGTACGGCCCTATGAGCGCAATCGCATCACTTGTATGCTATGGGAAAACAAGGACGAGAGAGGGGAAAACTTACTTCTAGAGGAACCGGGAGAACTGATGCAGCAGTAGGATTGAAACGAAATGATATATATAGTGACAACTGAAGTGATCAACTCTTGTTTCTATGTTGACAATAGCTCACTTCATAACAACCCAGTGGATAAGGATACATCGTCACTACCAAATAACTACACACGGTATAGAACATAAAGGATCAAACTCCGTATTATTAACTACCATTCGAATGACGTGTAATCATATAAGAATGTGATGTTTGTAGTGGTTAACTGTGTATGCTAACTGTGTATGCTAGTAGCCATCAGGGTAGTTTGCTTATTAGGTATGTTACCTCCTAACCTCCTAAAGTCTAAAAAGTACAATAGTCACGGACCAGTCTGTAACTCTCCCTAAACGTTATCCCTTCAATCCTACAAGCTGGAATGATTCACAGCCAAATACTTGTAGGTACCTAACCTAAGGTATGCTAAATATAATTGTCAGACTGATCCGTTACCTTTTTCACATTCTCGCTGAAACATGATAGGCCTCGGGAGTGGGGCCTACGTAAAGGCCTGCTAAGCCTACCTTAGGTATGTGTACACTATGTACATACAGGTTCGTTGTTGCTTAAACTGCTGCATTGTTGCGAACTACTGCACCGGTACGTACCCGCACCCATTAATCATTGATGCATCCCCGCTAAAGGAAAATCCACCTCAGCTGGTGGGGAGGCACATGTGAATGGACCGTGACTTCCAGATCATTCATTGTTTCTCATTGTTATGCGGTACCCATCGTACGTACCTATCGTATGTACATACAACTTGACCCGAGACCTGCCAATAGCGATCCACATTCTTATTTAATTCCCCTGCTACGCTGCGCTCCCCATCCTTGCCGTCTTTCCCAATCCAGGTTGACGGTATTCTTTTACTAGCAGGTAATTCTTGGAAGCAACACCGAAAATAACCTCAGTTCTCTTCACTTTTTAATTCTTTTTCTTTCTTCTTCTTCTTCTTGAACCTATTATTCACCAACCAACGCTTCATTCCAAGTTGCCCATGACTACCAGAGGTAGCTTTGCCTTGATCCTTACTGGTAATTTAATATAACTTCTTCTTCTTCTTCTTCCCCCCCCCACTACGTAGGCCTAGCCTTGCACCACATCGCATCCCATCGCCTCGCCTTGCCTCATTGGAATTGCACATCAATTACCACGTGCCAACTACTTTGAGCTCGTGGACAAGCTCCGCCTCTTCCTCTTCTTTAATTGAGCATTCGCCGCCTCTAAAATTCTGTCAGGGAAACGCTACATTGCATTGGTCCCCTCACTCTCACGACCAGCCGTTGCGAAGCCTACGTGGCCCTCACTACTCCACCATCGTTTCCTCGTCGCCATCCTCGCTACCGTTTCATACCATTATTCTACGGGTCCTCCAACCATAATGGAGTCAATATCCTCGCGTTTCCGGCGCACTAAGAGGGCTTCTCCTACGACTCCCCCCGCTGGAATACTATCTGGATCACCTCCCGACAAATCATCGTCGGAAAGCAAACTTGGCTCTGTGAGCTGTCGTGAACCACCGCCCACCCTGACCATTCCAACCAACCATGCTTCTCGCAATGATCTACCTTCGAAATCGCCTTTTCGTCGAGGGTTCCATTTTCGACATTCGCATAAGCGCGCCCGATCCCCCACTCCGGCTTCGTTACCTATGCCTGCTTCGCCCGCCGTCGCTAGTCAAGACAGTGCAGTCGAACTTGGTAGATCAGCACTAGCTGGCGGTGTTGAAGACAAAAGTGAAAAGGAAATGATCAAAGAAACCCCCAAGCCCAAGATTCCAGCTTTCCTGAATCTGTCCCACCAAGGTACGTCTATCCCATGCCGAAAGCGCAACATTCCGCTTGTATCTGTTTATAGTATTGAGATGCTAATAATGCCTACTCTAATTGCAGACATCGAGGCTAAGTTCCAGGATCTGAGCTGGACAGAGCGTTTTCGTCTCCAGGAGTCCTTACACAACCCATCCCCGAATTTCAAATTTGCTCGCGTTACGACACCCGAGACTAAGATTCTCGACCGGTACGTGAACATTCAGCCATGGGCCAATAACCGTGTCAAGCTACGGGTGCCAGACGGTCAGCTCGATTATATCAATGCGTCGCCCATTACTCTTCGTTCTCTTGTAGATTCTCGATCCAAGCCACCGCATCGCTATATCGCCATGCAAGGACCCAAATCCGAGACTATGGATCACGTTTGGCGAATGGTAGTGGAGCAGCTACAAAGCCCAGCTGTGATTGTGATGCTAACCGAGACACACGAGGGCGGAATGGAGAAGTGCTATCCGTATTTTCCTCGGTTCGTCGGGCAAGAACCATGGGTAATAGGCGAAGACGACGAATTCGGAGACGGGTTTCACGCCGAGGTCAAGTGTGTTGATATCGAAGAGCACGCAAACGGCGCAATTGAGGTTCGAAAACTCAACATTCACGTCGAGGGTCGGGAGGACGATATGACTGTATGGCACCTTCTTTACCGCAAATGGCCCGACTTTGGTGTCCCGGCTCTCGAGGATATTGATAGTTTCTTCGAGCTCATGCGTCTTTCGCGAGAGAAGAATGCGAGCCAGGACAATCCACGAATCATCCACTGTTCGGCAGGTGTGGGAAGAAGCGGGACATTCATAGCCCTTGAGCATCTCATGCGAGAGATAGACTCAGGTGATATGGATCGCCTTGAGATGAATGCTAACAGGGATGGGGAGGATACCGTCTATAAGACGGTCGACGCGCTCAGGGAGCAGCGTAAGCAGATGGTCCAATCCGAGTCCCAGTACCTATTCATCTATCAGGTGCTGCGTAAGCTCTGGCTAGACAAGCATGGGCTTACCGAGCAGGATATCCGGGAGGAGCCCGCAGCTAAGAGGTTGGAGGTCGATTTCGACCCTTTTTTTGATGATTGGTCAAGTTAACATGGTGAAGATGAACCACGCGGCGGTATTCGTATCATACCAGTCACCATTTTGCACGGCATCGCGATGGCGTTAGGAAGGAATACATTTGGGTTTCGGTACTTCTCTTCGCCCACCGGATTTTTATATTACGCTATGGTCTAGCATAGCAACGGGCACAGGATCATAGGAGGGCATACGGGTGCATTGGAAGTATCATTCATGGAAAGGCGTCCGTAACATCAACAGTACACGAGAGGATTTCGAGAATTATGCCGCCTTCTAGGGGCAAATAAAGGTATGCATGGGAGGAAAAGCTTCTACAAGACCTCTAAATTCGGGAGACGTTGTTATTTGAGAGATACCCTTCATATCAAATTAGTTGATATCAGATAACCGCCGCATTGGTTTGTAAAGTTTGCGGTTTTAGGACGGTTTCACTGTGGCCGTCGTTGGTTTTTAAAGGCGCAGATCGTGGCGTACAACCGCAAGAGTGGGTTACACGGCACAAGTCTTTCATGTCCTCAGATAATGATACATCATGAAGGTCACAACCTATCATGCAGGTTCATGATGTAAGGGCACGAAAAGCCATATACCTGTCTGGTCGAACTTGTAGCTGGGGTAGCTACCCCGCCTTGGCTGATCCCAATCATCGACAGTTAAATAACCTGCACGTACGTTGAGTTAGTACGGGGGTTTAAAAAAGTAATAATAATCAAGAAATAATTAGTAAACCCTAAATTGTCTTCTCCGGAGTGCGCTGAAGTGGCATAAGGGCGCTTGTTTGAATTTTTGATATTAAACCTTCTATTGCCTATAGCCATCGTCATTAAGGAAAACTAGAAAACCGGACACTAGCATGGCAAACC